CATCAGAAGGGCCCCTCAAGGGCATCCTGGGATACACTGAAGACCAGGTTGTCTGTTGTGACTTTAACAGTGATACCCATTCTTCCACCTTTGATGCTGGCATTTCCTAAATGACTACTTTGTCAAACTCATTTCCTCGTATGACAATGAATTTGGCTACAGCAAACAGGTAGTCGACCTGACCCACACAGCCTGCAAAGAATAAGAGCCACTTGGACCATCAGCCCCAGCAACAGCACTAGAAGAGAGAGAGAGAGACCCTCAGCTGCTGAGGAAGGAGTCCTTGCCCCAACTCCAGAATCACACACATACTGAGAATCTCACATCCTTGACAAAATGTCCATCCAGTCCCCCTGAGAAAGAGGAGGGGCTCAGAAAGCCCATCTTGTCATATACCATCAATAAAGTCACTGTACTCAGAGAAGAAAAAAAAAGGTGAAGCAGATCAGCAAGAATGGAGGCTTAGGAGTCTCTGAGTGGTACAAATTAAGTGCTCGGGATCAAATGGATAGCAAGAGGTTGTTTTTAAATCAAAAGGTTGGTGATTCAAATCCACCTAAAGGTATCCTAGAAGAAGAGCCTTACAATCTGCTTTCACAGGAGGCCCCACTAAGCTAGGTTCTAGTGTGTAGCACACGGATCCCACTGACCAGATCTCACGAACAGCAACGTATGTGGACTGAGGAGTAACAGGAGCATGCAGTATCATACAGCAGAGAATGTCTGTAACAAATGAAGAAGTCTTCCTCTAGATAATTCTAAACTAGTTGTGTGAGAATACTCTAGAGATTCCATTTTCTTAGTTCAAGCAAGAGATGCTTGGGCATCTTAAAAGAATGTGAACCCTCCAAAGTATTTTTCTAGTCTTTGCATTTTATTCTGCACAGTATTTTTTTTCTTCCACTGCACGACAAGATTTTGTTTTTTAATATGAAATAAAGTCAAGAGAGTTCAAAGAGGACTGTCTACAAAACGCAAAGGCAGGAATCATCAGTGTTAATAATGCTAAACTTAAGCCTTTGTGAAATTAAAAAAAAAAAAAACAAAAAACACAAAACACAATGACTAATTCAGTCCAAACAACTAGGTCATGCTGAAATTCCAGCAATTCTAAAACTTAAATATAATAAGGCAAGAACGTTGCTTTGCTTCAGTGGTCAAACTGAAGGAGCCATTCAAAGGATGGCCCAGTAATACAGTCATAATTGGAATACTAGAGGCACATTCTGGGAGAGAGATGAAAGCTGGCAAAAAGAACAAAGCAAAATAATAATAATAATAATAATAATTATTATTATTATTATTATTATTATTCTTTGAGTATGACACGCAAATTTGTGAAGCGTTCCATATTTTTACGGCGCAGGAGGGGAAGACCCTCTATGAGGTGGACTGATTCAGTGACTGGGGTAATCGGGATGGGTGTGTCAGAGGCAATGTAATTGGCACAGGATAGAGCAGGGTTTAGGGCTGTTGTACATAGGGTCGCTATGAGTCGCAAGCGACTAGACGGCACATAACAACAACACCACCACTCCCTGAAACTTGACAAAACTATGTCAACAAAAACAAAAAGGGAAAGGAAAAAAGTATTTTTCACACACAAAAAAAAATCCTCAAACATAATCATTTAACAAACATCTAACAGTCTTTCACAGGGCTACAGAGATAAAGGCCTGCTTTGTACTTGGAGGAAGCTCAAGTGAACTACCTAATAAAGAGATCCAATGACGTATGTGACACCAACAGAACAAGGGAAAATATGCTGAGTGCTCTGAGAGGCACATGGCGTGCTCACACAGTTAACAGAAGGGTAAAAGGCTGAGAGAAGTGGGAAGGCATTAAGTTATCTGAATGAATGACACACAAAACGGAATGAAAACTTCTGTCCACTGATCTGGAAAAAGGATATATGATTAGGTATTACTGGCATGACAAGAGTCCAGAATAAGAGCTGCATGGTAAAGTGGACTGGGGGAGGGGGGATTGTATAACAATGAAAGAATTTTTTTTCCCCCAAAGAGAAAGGTGAACTGGGGAGGAGAGGGGACAGGGAGGAAAATGTGCAACAATGGAATGGAATGGAAATCCAAGTTAACTATAAGCTTTCACTAAAATCTCAATTTTTAAAAAAAAATGAGTTTCAACAATTTGAAGCATATGATACTTTGCAAAAAACTTCATTCAATACAAGCTCAATTTCCCAAATAAGTTCTCTTCCCACGTAAAAACATAGCACTGACCCAAGTGAATAAAATCACATCACCAGAAGCTTGCTGGAAGTCACAGAGTGTTGCACACAGCTAACTTACTCAGTAGTAAAAGCCGTTTAAACCCACCAGAGACATTCAGAAGAAAGGCATGGCAATCTATTTAAAAAAAACTTAGCCATGAAAACACTAAGGGACACAGTTCCACTGACACACATAGAGTTACCCTGAGTTGGAGTAGACTCTAGGGCAGGTGGTTTAGATTCTTTCTGTGGATCTATATCAGGGCTTCTATGCCTCATTCAATACACTGTTGTTGTATACTGTCAAGTAAGAAGTGACCCACAGCTGACCCTCCAGCGGGTTTTCAGAGGTAGTTAATCACAGTGCAGGAGACTGTACATCCTTCTCCCCAGAGAAGCTGGAGGATTCGAACTGTGTGCCTTCAGGACTGCAGCACAGCATCTTACCACTAGGCCACCCGAACTCCCTACATTCCATATAATTAAATTATTCAGGTCAAAAGTACTCAACCGTGCTACACTGCCTTCTCCTTTTGTGAGAAGCCGAAGCATACGTAACCAAAGCAACAGAGGTAAATTTTCCGACTGTATCTCAGAAACTCAAACTCGCTGCTGTCGAGTCCATTTTGACCCACAGTTACCATCCATCAAGTTTCTGGAGCTTGTAAATCTCAACAGGATGTGATGGCTCATCTTTCTCCCTCTCGGCTGCTGGTGGATTTGTACTGTCAGAGACATGCAGCCTTTAAGCTCATCGTGAAATTCACAAGTACACCCTGTATTGTAAAAATAACTAATGATGTATGCCTATCCAACATACAGGAAAATTTTACAATTGCTCAAAATTTGTTTTCATATTAGGGGGAAGAAAACCCAAAACCTAGTCATCTAGTCTGGATATTAGACAAGGTACACCTCATATGAAAGGCAAATAGGCAAAGCAATGCAAGCATTAGCTCATTTCTGTATCTTGGATAAATGTGTTAACTGTAATTTATGGCTGCTAAAATTCAAAAGTAGGGTTGACGTTAGAAGGGGGGGGAAATCCAGCCTCAGTGTTCACTCTTCAACGTTCTTTGAATTCCTCTACATGGCTCTTCTTTAATAGCTGACTTCTTTCCCTTTGTTGTTAATAACAGTAATTCTATTAATTATTGTTACAAATAACAGTAATTCTATTAACGGCTCCATTTTTTTTTTTTTTAATTAAGAACTGGCTTCAGAGCACTCCTTCAAAGAACTGCCCTGGGAATGTGTAACTTCAACCACTTCATTCAACTTAGGGACACAATAAAGACACATTTTGCTTCAGCAAATAAAACAAAATGGCAAAAAGCAACCTGAGGACTTCCTAAGGCACAGAATGCAACAAGATACTAGATAATTGAACAGAATGGATGGTTCAGTTGACCGGTAACTAAATATGGTGCTTTTCTCAAGCTCAAGAACTAAAGGACCTAGATCTGGGGCAACGGAAAGATGTTCCCTTCGGAAATATTGGTATCCAATTCCTACCTGATACCACTACTAGCTGTATTGTGCTGGTCCTCAGAAGAGGACAAAGGTCAGAGTAGCATGTCTTCCATTTCATCACTCCTGATATGCCCCCAGGAGGTGGGGAACTTGGGTGAGAAAGGAGCAATGATACTATCTATCATTTGCTTTGAGCTTCGGGCACAAGGATTGTTCCACAAAAATTAAATTCAAAGAAGGCCTGACAAAAAATAAGGACACTGGACATATTTCCAGCAAAAGCCCTTTCTATGAGCAATTAACGTGGCTCAAAAAAATGCCAGACAACTAGGCCTGGAATTCTGCTCACCTAGAAATAGTGTTTCAAAAGAGAAATATAAATTGTTCTGGAAAACACTCGCCAGAAAAGAACACTCCTGTCAGCCTTGTGTCTCTTCTCTCTCTTCCAGCTCGCTGCTGTGGGGTCAGTGCTAAGTTCTAAGTCAGTTCTAGGACCATCTTTCAGAGCCACTGGTGGACTGGAACCACCAGAGGCATTTGGCCTTCAGATGAGCAGGGCAACTCAGGCCAGACCACGCCACCAAGGCAAAGCTCCATGCTCTAAATACCTCTCCAAAGACAAGACATTTAATAGTTCAAGACTATCAGGAAATACCCAAGTAAATCCCCCTGGGAGACTTAAGTCATCGATCCCTCACGCCCTCAAGTAAATGAAGAGAAACTGTAACCCAAGACTTAGTCATGCAATATGGCTGGTTTTCTTGTCTTTACTCAGCCATTATACACCAAGATTGCAAAAACAGTCGTCCGGAATTTCTCAGCAAGCAACAGGCTTTACTTTATGATTATACTCTGAATGTAAACAAGAGTATATGGTAATGATCCTTTAAAATCCAAAGCACCCCTCCAACACATGTCTAAGATGCATTACAGCCAAGGCTCTGTAGCAGGCTAATCTCAGACACTATTCTACGTCTGTTCAGCTGCCTAAAGTTTCCCTCCAGGACATGTAGGCTAAATTGGGAAGAGAAAAAAGCAGCGTACTTTGAAAGTAAGAGTCCTTCTATCAGAAAAGCATGATACTGATGGCTATATTTCATATCATTCACATAAGTGACTACCTTCCACTTGTTTCCAAAACTTCTTCTATTTACCCTGAAAATCTATCTTCTCCCCCCCCCGACCCCACCAGGAACCTAAGATATTAAACATTCTGCCAAATGAGAAACAAGTATTTTCATAAAAGCATCCCAACATGCACCACAGAACAGTGAGCGTCCTTCTCCCCACTTACCTGGGAAAGCGTGTGGACTGGGCGACCCTCTCTTAAGGCACTTAGGACAGAGGATATGCACGGTGTAGTGCAGTCCAGGCCATTCCTGAAGCAGGACGTTCAGTTCCTCGACTAAGGGGGTAATGGCTTGCCATGCTGTCCATATATTTGGTAATGATGCATGGCTGGCAATGGACAGAGTGTCTGGCTGCAAGACCCCCTTGGCAGGTCTGTAGCTCACCACCACAGGAACTTTCCCTCTATATGCAAAGATCTGAAATTTGCCATCTGACCTGTGTACCACGTGGCTGTTGATCTGGACACTGAAGCGTGCAAACAACCCAGGTGGAAAGGTAAAGGGGAAACTATATTCAATCTGTAACTGCTCAGCGACAAAAGACTGCCCGGCCAAGTTGGTCCCGTTAATCCAGGCCTCTGCATGGGGCACCTCGTTCTGCACATAGCACGGGAACTTGTACCAGGCCATGGACCCATTCAAAGGCTTGCCCTTGGGCTTATTGAGGCAGTAACAGAGTCCCATCTTCTCCAGTAGTTCCAGCAGCAACTGCAAGTCCTGCTGCGCCTGGACGTGAGGCTTCAGCAGCAACCGAATGACATGAGCTGGCAAGAGTCCATGTAGCAGAAAACCCTCCACATAATGATGGAACTGCGTGGCCCGGAGCAGGTCCTGGCTAGGGGCAGGCACCGCCATCAGAAGGGCGCTTTCTCCATCTGCCTCCCCCTCTCCACTGGTCCCTAGGAGCAGCTTATGCAGCAGTAAAGAAGCATCCCTCTGGAAAAAGACATTGAGGATGTCAATGAGACGAGTGAGGTTGTGGAAGACATGTTCCTTGAGGGCTGGACTGTCTTCAAAGTAGAGCAGCTTTCCACTCTCATGCAGGTAGGAAAGGGCACTCTGCAGCCGGTCCTCGGTCAGACCTGCCTGCAGGCCCAGGCGTGCAGAATCCCACCAGCTCAGCCAAAGCCGTTGGGCCTGAGGTGGCTGGAAATGCAGTTCCTCCAGCACCTGCCAGGATCGAGGCAATACTCTATGCAAGTTGGGGAAGATTTCCCGGTGTTCAGCTACTGAGAGAAGCTTGTCCCGCAGGCGCTGCAATTGGCGCGGGTCCCTGCAACTAACGGGCAGCACAGGGGAAAGGATCTGCAGCCGGTGGTTAAGCAAGTACTGAAAATGGGCCTTGCGGCGCCGAAGGTTCTTGTCAGAAACACCATAGTAGGCTGCATGGGGGCTGGCAGAGCGCAGCTCGAAGTCCTGGGCCAGGGCTTCGTCCACCACCTGTGCCAGGCGGCTGAGCCCCTCCGCATCATGCTTCTCCTGCAGGGCGATCTGGCGGTGAATGTCCAGGCACTTTTCCTCCAGTTCCCGCTCCCCACACAGGTCCGCGTGTGTGCCCACAATACAAACCACTGCATGCGGCACTCGGGCCCCCACTCGATGCAAGAAGGAGCCCACGGTGGTGGGAAAGCCGCTCGGCTGGTAGGTGGCCAAGTTGACCACTAGCACATAAAGCGCCCCTGGGGAGAGGAAGAAGGGCTGGATCACCTCGTAACTTTCATCACCGGCTAAGTCATACACGATGAATCGCAGGCCCCGAGAAGCATCAGCTGTCCAGCTGGTCACCTCAATGCCCTTACTCACGGGAGGAGGTGAGGAAGGGTAACTCTTCTCTTTGTCCCCTCCATGGTTTCCTTCCACTTTGTCCTCCGTGAGGCAGTGACGAAGCAAGGTCTTCCCTGCAGCCTTATGGCCCATCAGGAGCAGCTTGAGGCGGGGCTGCACTGCCGGCTGGGAATGAGCCAGCTCCTTTTGGTAAGCTGCAATGTAGGGGATCCCCTTCATACAGACCTCGTAGGGGGGCTGAATCAGGGGGTTGTCCTTGATCTTCCACAGGCCCACCCGGGAAAGCTGGCCAAAGTTGTCCGGCAGCACAGCAATCTGGTTCCCTTGTAACACTAGTTCCTCCAGGCCTGTCAGTTCCACAATAGTGTCAGGCAGGTAGCGGATCCTGTTATTATCCAGCCACAGAGTGAGAAGCCGGCCCAGGTCCGAGATAAGGGATGGCACTGAGGTGAGCTGGTTTCGACTAAGGTAGAGTTCCTCCAGACCAGCCAGGGGCAGCAGAGCAGCAGGGAACTCCTCAAAGAGGTTGGAAGAGAGGTTGAGCATTTTGAGCTTTTGCAGGCGGCTGAACTGGGAGGGCAGAGCCTGCAGACCGTTGTTGTCTAGCATGAGGCTCTCCAGACTGGCCAGCTCACAGAAGCCGATGGGCAAGGTGCCAAGCTCAGCCCCGCTCAGCCAAAGGATCTTGAGGGCACGCAGGGCACTGATATCCTCAGGTAGGCCCCGAAGCCGGTTGCTGGACACATCCAGCTCCTCCAGGGCTGCCAGCTGCAGCAGCTGCTGGGGAAAGGCAGTGAGTTGGTTGTGGTCCACGTCGAGGGTCCGCAGACGGTGGAGGCAAGAAAGAGAGTCGGGCAGGTGTGCCAGCCTGTTAAAGCTGACATCCAGCTCCTCCAGGTGGGCGAGGGCGCCCAGCTGGGCGGGCAGGGAGGGCAGCTGATTGTGGCTGAGGTTAAGCTTGCGCAGCTCCCGCAGGGCACTCACCACTTCTGCACCCACGGCAGTCAGCCGGTTGTGGCTCACGTCCAGCTCAGTGAGGTGATGGCCCAGCTCGGCCACCGCGGGGGGCAGCCAGACGAAGCGGTTTCTGCGCAGGACCAGGACGCGCAAGCTGCCCAGCGCCGACCCAAGCCCATCGGGCACCTCCTCCAGACCGTTGTTCCCCAGGTTCAGCACTTCAATGTCCCCGATGTTGGCCGGTAGCACGAGCTGAGGGGCATCGGGGGACTCCAGCTGGTCGGTGCCGGCCGCGGGACAGCCCCCGGTGGCGCTGAGCGTGAGCTGGCGCAGGTTGCTCCGCAGCTTCCTGGCGCGCAGGGCGGCGTCCCGCCACAGCCTCACCGTCTTCAGGTTCCCACTGTCCTTCCCAGCCATGGCGGGAGCCCCCGGCCGACACCTTCAAGCGGGCGCGGGAGCCCGCAGCTGCATGCCGCGCTGCGCCCGGGGCCGGCGCCCGGCTCCCAGGCCCTCCGGCTCCCGCTCCGCCCTTCCCTCCAGCCCTCGGCGGCCGGCGGCTGTGGGTCCTAGCGCAGCCAACGGCCGGGCGCTCGCGGCTGAGGGGCGACGGCGAAGCGAGCAGCTCCGGGGGGCGTTGAGCGAGTGGCGCGGGGGGAGGCGGCGGCCAGCGAGGGGTGCAGCTCGCATTCTTCCTCCCGCGCCATGGGCGCGCGGAGCCGCCGCCGGGGCAGCAGGGGCCGCCGCA